TATTTTTCCCCTGGCAGGCGAGCATTGGGCAACTAGCTCTGAGTTAGTGCACCCGGTGGCATCACCTGGGAAGGTTCTCTCTGGTCACAGTGAATTTTTTCATAAAAGCAGTTTCACTCAAACCTCATTTTGTTTTGTTTTTTAAACATTTTATTGAGGGCTTTTAAAGCTCTTGTAACAATCCGTACATCAATTGTATTAAACACATTTGTACATATGCTGCCATCATTCTTTTCTCCACGTTTACTTTCTATTGAGCCCTTGGTGTCAGCTCCTCTCTTTTCCCCTCCTCCCCCCTCCCTCATCGCCTCTTGATAAATTATAAAGTATTATTATTTTCATATATTACACCAACTTCTGTCTCCCTTCCCCCACAGTTTCTGTTGTTCATCCCCTGGGGCTTGGGGGGTGGGGGGTGGGGGCTGGAGGTGCAGTTATGTGTTGATCATCGCAATAGGTTTCCCCTTCCCCTCCTCTCCTCACTGAACCTCATTTTTTGTGATGGCTGATTAAAGAGAACAGCATGCGGCTGTGAAATTTTGTTTCCTGCACAAGAAAAATGCTGCAGATAGTTTGTGATGTTGAACAGAGCTCACAAGGACAACGCTATGGGAAAAACTCAAGTGTATGAGTGGCTTTCACATTTCAAAAAAGGTGAAATGTCAACTGATGAAAAACCTCGTTCTGGACATCTGTCAACTTCCTGAGCAGATGAAAATGTTGACAAAATTTGTGTACTTGTGCTGGAAGACTGACGATGAATGATTGAAGAGTTAGAGAAGTTACCTGGATTATCTTGGAGCTAGGTTCAGCGAATTCTGTGATAGACCGGGACTGGTGTTGCCACCACGACAATGCACCTACTCATGCAGCCATCTCAGTGTGCCAGTTTTGGGCAAAAACAGAATGCCTCTCTTGTCCCACACACCTTACTCACCTGACCTTGTCTGTGCGACTTCTTTTCGTTTCTGCGAATGAAGAGGAACATGAAAAGACAACGATTTAATGATGTAGAAGAGGTGAAGAGAAAAATGAGGAGGTGTTTGTCAGCCATCCAACCAGATGAATTTGAAAGATGTTTCCAAAAATTGAATTGCAGATTTGACAAATGTATTAAGTGTAATGGAGACTACGTTGAAGGTGATAAGGGTTTTTTTGTTCAAAGAAAAATTTTAATAAATAGCTTTGAAAAAAATTTCCTTTTTTGGGGTTGTGGGGGAATACCTCCTGGTATGTATTCACAGGGAGCACAGGCCACTGAAGAATTTCTGAAGGGCATAATCCGATCAAGTTTCATAATCCCATCATTCAGAGTGATGTTGACAGCTCTTTAATGCACATGAAAATCATCTGGGCTTTGTAGCAATTAAGAAACTGGCAGAAGTTCATAATTCCTCAATCCAAAATAAAAGGATGGTGGCTTAGATCATCATAGAGTCTGAGATGTCTTCTATTTTGAGGAATTTTGCATGAGAGGATGGCTTCAAAACAGTTCTGTGACAATTCCAGTTGGTCCTTCATCCTCAACCCAATTAGATCCCTGCTGGCCTCTGTCTATTCAGAGATGGGTTTTAAGAAACATGCTTCCCAAATGTGGCGAAGAAAGCTGATGGTGCCCGGCTATCAAAAAGTATAGTGTCTGGGGTCTTAAAGGCTTGAAGGTAATCAAGCAGC